CCCCCAAAACCCCAAAACCCCAAAACCCCTTTTCCTATATAAAATATTGAAATGGGATGATTTCCATGCTGCTTTAAAAAGCAAAAAGCCCCACGTCAAAGAAGAAGGAGGGATCCTGAAAGATTGTCAAAATCAAGCGAGAAATTTAATGGGTAAGTTCGAAGCTAATTTCTAGACTAGGCCCAAGTGATAATCAGATTGTTCAGGATAACAAGCAAAGAGTTAACCAAGAGAAAGATATAGGCAGAGATTTCTTCCAGAAATCTCAATATGCTGATGCTGTGAGAGCATACCATAATGCACTTCGGATTCATTTCGAGCTTGGCTCGAAACTAATCCTGGTGTACCCTAGAGTAAGCTTTCTACTTTTATTGAATTGGATTGCCAGGAATTCTCCTATAGGATGATTATCACAACCTCAGTGCTATACTTTATGCTAACCTGGCTCGATGTCACTTGAATATGGAACAGAGCGAAGAAGGAATGGAATTTAGTGACAAAGCCATCAAGGAAGATCCAAACTATATAAAAGGTACAAGACCATTTTATTTGTAGCATATGTTGTTAAAGGAGATATTCTGATTCACCAAGCTGATCAAAATCATAACTTAGATCAGGCTACACAAGCCAAAGAGTAAGCATTCTTGTTGAGAGATAGTCTATTTGAACATTGAATAACTCTCTGAGAAAGGATTAATAAAGAGAATGATTTTACATCACAGATTGAAGAAAGACTAAAATAATGCAAACAAAATTAGCCGTATCTTACAAGCAGAAATTGATTTCACTTATCATTCAGATGTCCGCGAGCAATTTGAACATATTTTTGCAAAATTGCTTGAGAATCCTTCTTTAGAGGAGAGAGATAAGATTGAAAAGTTTAGAGGACATATACTTCATAAATTAGATATGAAGTTAGAAAACTCGAAAGAAATAATGAAAGATGATGATACCCCTGAATACTTAAAATGAATTTTCACACACGAAGTAATGCAGGACCCACATACAACAAAAGCAGGACATTCTTACTCTAAAGAAGAGCTACTCCAGCACATTCAGGTTAATGCTAATGAACCAATGACACGTGACTTTATAAGCCAACAGCAGCCTGGTTTAATCAAGAATAAGGGTAAGCTCTTGATTAATTTTAGCATTGGAGAAAGCTATCAAATGATTTTTAGCGAAGGGTTCAATTTGATAATCAGGCAATGGGGTTTTGGGGTTTTGGGGTTTTGGGGTTTTGGGG